AAATCATGAATTTCGCAGCAACCTGGATGGAAACTAGAGTCTATAATACTGAGTGAACTCTCACAGAAACAAAGATCTGAGTACCACATGTTCTCACTCATATAGTGAACCTTGAACATCCAGCGTAATACTATAAGAAAATGACTGACAGTGGTGGGAAACTATGGTGGGGAGGGGAAGGGAGATGGGATTAATGGTAGTAAATTTCGGTCTGGGGACAGGGAGACACCTCTTATCAACAAGGGTGTTTGAATGAAGCATATTTGTATACTTAACCCTTTACTGTACCCCACAGTATCATAATAAAAAATATTGACTACAAAAAAAAAAGCCCCAGAATTATCTTTTGGAAGGTGGACCCCTTGTAGTACACTTGAAATTTGTTCCTCTGGATCAAATGGTCAACCAAGGTTTTTATCTGGAAATCTGGAGAAGGTTGCATCACAATGTGCGGAAAAAACATTCCAAGTTGTGGCAAACAGGTAACTGGTTCTTCCACCATGACAACGCACCTGCCCACATTGTGCTGAGCGCTCAGTAGTTTTCAACCAAAAACGGCATGACTCCCATGCCCCACCCTCCCTATTCACCTGATCGCTACCCTAGTAACTTTTTTTGTTTGTTTCCTTGGATGAAAAAAGCTCTCAAAGGGGAACATCTTGCTGATATGAAAGAGGTAAAACAAAAAAATGACCTAAGCACTAAAAGGCATCAAAATTAAAGAGTTGAAACACTGTTTTGAGCAGTGGAAAAAGGGTTTCGATAGGTGTATTGCATCAAATGGAAAGTACTTTAAAGGGGACTGAAGTTTAAACATGTAAGAATAAATACACAATTTTTAATAAATTCCAAGTTTTTTTTGGTTTCCCTCATATGTTGGAGATCTGTCTAGGTGAATCTGTATATATAGTTCAATATTTCTCAAGGACTAGAGCCTTACAATAAGATGGTTGGGAAAACAGTCATATACTACAGTCCATTTGAGAAAATGTGTGGGCTCTATCTAGCTCTAACTACTTCCTAAGAAGTTTTGAAACAAGAGAGGTCCAGCACTCCAGCATTATCCCTCCACATCTCAGACTCTGCCCTCCTCTCATTTGTGCATTCTTACTGTTCTTGTTTCTCCATTTTATCTTCTTGCTTGTGGACTTCACTCTGCAGAGCCTCTGAAGCTTCCTGAATGTCTTGTGTGTCTTTCATCCTGGCTAGAGAGAAGTCTCTTTTCTTTCCTAGGAAAATGGATCATGGTATCAGGCAATGAATATAGCTGAGACTCAAGGCAGATTTTCTTTTTAAAGTGACCTCACCTGTTAATCCAACTCTCTTCAAGCACCAGCCAGATTTAATGATTTCTTTACCAAACTGGTATCAGAACCAGAACTCTCATGTGAATAATTAAGGACCAACATAGCCAATACTGATGTCAGCTAAGGATATCATTCAAACCATGGTGAAGGTGTGTGGCGTTTACTGGAAGCAGCTCAAAAGACAGGGGCAGTAACTCGGCAAGAGACTTTTATGATTACAACTTTCACATCTGGCCTCTTAGAACTATGAGGTAATGTCTCCATAGTTACAAAGTTCCAGTCACTGAACAATTACTATGTCGATGCTGTACCTGCTTTGCAGCTTGCTGACATTAAATAATGTGACTTGCTTTTAGGAGAGACATATCTGCCACCAGACAGACTTCGCCAACAAAATGTTTGATATTTAACTTTGGATTTCTTTTTTTTTTTTTAATAATTAATCAGTATTTTTATTATAGTTTTGTGGGGTACAGTTAAGGGTTAGGTGTACAATTA